TCATTCACTGGGGGACTGTGTGTCCAAAGCACGGGATTTTCAGAGATGAACACATCAGAACACCTGCCTCAAAGATCTGACTTCATGAGGCGAAGACAGCATACCTTCTCAATGCAGCCCTTAGCTCTGTGGCAGCAGGGACCTTCTCTGCCTTGTTCCCAGGTGCAGGTCTTCAAAGATAGCAGGTCCCAAGTAAATATTATGGATGGATGGATGGATGGATGAATGGATAGATGGAAGCGCAGACAGAAGCTGTTGGTGAAGGCTTTCTAGATGATGGTGTCTTGAAGGACAAGTGTGGGTCAAACACGGTCAGGGAAGGGTAGTCCAGACAAAGGGCAGAGCAGTTACAACATGGTCACAAGAGGATTGCAAGCCAGGCAGTGAAGCCTTTTGAAAAAGCACCTTGGCTGAGTGTAATCAGGAGCCCGGCGGCAGCACATTTACCATAATTACAGAAGGAAATGATGAGCGTCTTAGCTAAGGCAATGGCTGTGGGGATGAGCAGAAGTGAATGGATTTGAGAGCAACTACAGAGCTTGCCAACCAAGGTCAGCCAGGAAGGGCCAGGCAAGTTAGATTGGTGTGTAGGTTCTGGCTTGGCAGAACCTGGATGGAGGTGCCAGGCTCAGAGTTAGGGACTACAAGAGGAGGTGTGAGTTGGGGGAGAAGATAACCACATCCCTCGGGACATACCCATGCTCTGTGCCTTTGGGAAATTAGGTGGAAATGTCCATAAGTAATGCTCTGAGCCTGGAGCTTCGCGGGGGCCAGGGAAGCTGGGTGATGCAGTGTCATTCTAGACGTGGAAGTAAACGCAGAAGTGAATGGATTTGAGAGCAACTACAGAGCTTGCCAACCAAGGTCAGCCAGGAAGGGCCAGGCAAGTTAGATTGGTGTGTAGGTTCTGGCTTGGCAGAACCTGGATGGAGGTGCCAAGCTCAGAGTTAGGGACTACAAGAGGAGGGGTGAGTTGGGGGAGAAGATAACCACATCCCTTCAGGACATACCCATGCTCTGTGCCTTTGGGAAATTAGGTGGAAATGTCCATAAGTAATGCTCTGAGCCTGGAGCTTCGCGGGGGCCAGGGAAGCTGGGTGATGCAGTGTCATTCAAGACGTGGAAGTAAACGCATCACCCGGGGCCTGAGGCGGAATGCAGCTATTGAAGGTCTGAGCAGAAAGAAAATGGGGGATAGAGGCAGAGAAGTAGGAGCAGAAGCCAGAAAGGGTTGGTATTAGAGAAATCAAGGAACAGCGTTTCACGGAAGGTGTGAGCCAAGGGCCACATGCAGCAGAGAGTCAAGCAAGGTACAGGGCACAAGGTGGTGTTCTCTGGGTTTGGCAACGAAGAGGTCACCCGTGTTCTTCGCCAGAGACATTTTGAGAGGCAGGAGCGGAACAGAAACCTGAGCACAAAGGGTTGAATCATGAATGGGAGACGAGGAAGAGGCGAGGGTGGACTACTCCCCTGGGGCTGCGGGGCCAGCCCTGGGGTGGGGGTGGGGGGCGGGCATTTCACCGTCATTGTAAGCCTACTCTACATTTTCATCTTCTTTTTACAAGTGGGTGTACAATAGGGATTCAGTGCTCAGACTCCAGAGCCAGGCAGCAGGGGTTCACACAACCCCAGCTTCCCACTTTGGTTGTGTAATCTCTGTGTCTCAGTTACTTTACCTATAAAATGGGGGTGAAATAGTAATGCGACTTCACAGGCTGGTGACAATCCAGTGAGCTGATTTGTGTGAAGCACTTAGAACAGTGCTTGGATGTGGTAAGTGCTCCTTAAATACCGACTATTACTCTGCAGGGATGTGAAGAGAAAAGTAAGGAAAAAGAGGAGTTGGGGAAGCTTTTTCTTTTCTTTGTGATACTCACTTCCTTTGTGCGTTAGACATTGATCTCTTTCATGTATAGAGAGGCTCTTATTATGTGCAAATATCTGTGTGTTGCGAATATCTTCCCCCGTCTGCGTTTCCTGTTAGTCTTCTCCAGGCTACTCCTTCACACACACAAACACCAGGTGTTTCCATACTCAAATCTTTGTGTTAGTTGTCATGTTTGTTGAGGATTTTCCCTCCTCGAGAACAGATCCTGAGCTGAGTTTCCTTCAGGTTATTTTATTATTTCATTTCATACTTCAACCCACTAGAATTGTTTTCTGCAGGAGGTGAAGTGGAGATAGAATTTACTTCCTCCAAATAGTTAATTGTCCTCATCTCATATATTGAGTAATGCTTTTCTTCTCCATTGTAAGCTTTATCAGACACAAATAACTTTTATCATTTATTGCGATATAAAAGCAAGACAAAAGGAAAAAGTTAAACAACCGTCATTCCATCTTGAGCATCCTGCTGCCCCCGGGCTTGTCCCTGGCACCACACGTACCTTTAAAGGCGTGAGGTAAGGGCTCCATGCAGCTGCCGTCCTCCCCAGGATTCCAGAAGGAAGCAGATAGGACCTGGTTTGATAAAGACGGTCCTGTTTTTCCACACACATACACACACACACACATGCATGTGCACACACACTTAACACACACCTGTGCGTGCACACATACATGCTCACACCCATACACGTGTACGCACAGACATGTTTGCATACTCACACATGCATGCACATACCTTGCACACATTCACACACACATATGCCCAGTCTCATTTTTGTGTCTCTCCCTAGGACACAACCACAATGTCTCCCCACCCCGCACAGATCAGCAGGTCTGTAAAGCGGACAGTGGGGTGTGGGGAAAGGGAAGATAAGAGCAGGGAGGGCCCAGGTCACCCATCCAGCCTTTGAGAAGCTGAGCGCTCTGTGCCTCTCTAAAGACTCCACCTGCCCTTGTTGCTTTGGAAACAGGCTGACTAACCCAGGCCCTGCGTGTAGTCAGCGTCATTGCAGAGTGAAGGACCATCGAGCACTCGGAAAGCATACAGATCGCAAGATGGTATCGCACATCGGTTCCTGGAAAGGGCCGTGGGCTGGTTCTCCGCGTGCAAGGAGCCCAGCTCCGTGCTGTTTGCACATGGCTGACCTGAGTGGACAGACCCCTCACCCGCAGGCTGGTAGAGCTCAGACCTGTCGCTCTAGGCTCTCTCACATCGGTTCCTGGAAAGGGCCATGGGCTGGTTCTCCGCGTGCAAGGAGCCCCGCTCCGTGCTGTTTGCGCATGGCTGACCTGAGTGGACAGACCCCTCACCTCAGTGCCGGGCGGTGTGCCAGCCCCCAGGCTGGTAGAGCTCAGACCTGTCGCTCTAGGCTCTCGACAGGACAGCTGACACATCCTCAGGACTGGGGGCTCCAAGTACATCTGCCCAAGGAGCCTGCTGCTGGGAGAAGCTTAGAGGGGGGGCCCTGAATGCAGGTGACCCCCGGGGAAGCACTGCTGGCACCTCCGTCCGCAGTGCCCAGCCCCGCCCTGGCGTGTGCGGGGGGCCCACGTCTGTTTGCTCCCCAGCGAGTAGAGGAATGAAGTCCGCTTCATACTGACCCGGAAAGACCCGCCCTTTATTGTCAGTGAGAAGGGGGATTGCAGGGCACAGGGCAGGGTGGGTGCAGTCTGCCTGGCTGTCCGCGCGTCACAGTTTGTATTCCATCACTGCTCCCTCCTGGGAGGCAGTATCCTCTCTGCCCTGGGTTGGCTTGCCTGGACTGTTGATTGAGATCAGGGGCTGATCTGTCGGAGAGAGTCCCCAGGCAAGAGGAAAGACAGAGGGCCACTTTGCCCTTTGTTTGCTTCTGCTATTGAACGTTTTAAAAGGAACACAGTAGGTTGCCCTTGCGGTACTTGCCACTAATTGAGGGAGATGATCAGGCGAGCAGATGAATTACAATACAAACAGAAAGAAATTCTAGCCTCAGACATCTTAATTCCTTCCCCACTCCCCACCCCCAATTATCTTGCTCTCTATCCAGGCTCTCTTCAAAGAAAAAAGAATGTTCTGCCCTCCTACAAATCTGTCATCCCCTTTCCCTTCGTCCCCATTCTCAGAAGAAAAAAAAACTCTCTCTCTCTCTCTCTCTCTGTCTCTCTCTCCCACCCCCAATTATCTTGCTCTCTATCCAGGCTCTCTTCAAAGAAAAAAGAATGTTCTGCCCTCCTACAAATCTGTCACCCCTTTCCCTTCGTCCCCATTCTCAGAAGAAGAAAAAAAAACTCACTCTCTCTCTCTCTCTCTCTCCCTGGTCCCTGGCTATCAGGGAGTCACAATTTGCATTCCATCACTGCTCCCTCCTGGGAGACAGTATCCTCTCTTCCCTGGGTTGGCTTGCCCGGATTGTTTATTTGCAGTGACAAATAGGAAGCTGAGCCAAACTTAGGAAACCACGATAAACCACGGCCTGTGAGCAGCAGCGCTCTGCCCCTCTGACCAGGCCTCACCCCTCTGCCGCCGCCCCTTGGCTCTGTCTAGGAAAGTCCATTTCGGGGCCAGAAGACACGAGGGTGGGACGTGGGCCCTTCTCTGGGACGAGTGCATGCAGCTGTCCTGCTCCTTCTCGCTGCCCTGCTGCCGGGACGCTCCAGTGCTGGCTGCCACTCTGAGAGCCACCGTGTTCCTCTCTGACGCCCCAGCTGCCGGCAGCCACTCTGGCCCCTCGCCCCGCTGCGCCCTCTGCCTAATCTTCTTCCTCCGTTTCTTGGCACTTCTAGCTCTTTCTTCCATTCCATGTGGAGCCAACATGTCCCTTTCTTAAAGGCATCTCCCCTGATTCCCCAACCCCTGCAGTCTCTTGACCCGTCTCATCGATCACTACCCAAATGACCTTATTTATTGGCTTTTTTGACCATCTGTCTACCCCACTGGAATGTGAGCTCCGTGAGAACAGGGAATTGTTCACCCACAGTGCCTAGAGGAGCACCCGGCGCTTAGTAGGCGCTCAATAAGTAGTTGTTAAATGAAGGACCAAGAGCCTTTGCTGCTCCCAGGGCTTGTTAGCAGTCCCCCCCACCCCCCACTCTGGGTCCAAGGAGCAGAGCTGACTGTGGGTCTGTGATTGTAGACGGAGTCCTTCAAGCTGGGCGAGCCGTACAGCCAGTGCACGGAGGATGGCAGCGACGTGCCCATCGAAAACATCTACAATGCTGCCTACTCGCTCCAGGTACGCGCCATGCTGCGCCTGGACCCAGGCCGGCAAAGTTCTGTATAGGCTGGGGTGTGTCTGGGACCAGGAACTCTGGTGAGAGTCCTTGGGGTTCCTCTAAACACCTCAAGAACAACCGATGCTGGCTGGTTCCAGTCTCCTCAATCCGTCTGTAACCAGAGCTTAACTGATTCATTGAGGTTTTCATGGAACACAGTGTACAGCCGAGACAGGCCCACTTCCTAAACGGCCTGTGCAGGAGGCGCAGGAGCGAAGCCGTCTGGGCGGCACTGGCTGAGGGCCCCCAGCTTGGCTTCCCCACCGGGCCCCTCACTGGCCGATGGCCTTGGGCAAGTGTGTCATCCTCAATGAGCAGAGGAGAGGTCGGATTGGATCCGGGGCTGCTAATGGGCAGCCCCCCGACGCCTGCCAGGCTGCACATCTGGTTTTTCTAGCCTGGATGGCGTTTAAAGGTCAGGGAATTTTACAAGAAAACCAAAATCCCCAGCTTCTCCTGAAAGACAAGATGGGGCCTGTACCCTGCAGGGTGAACAGTGGGTGGGATTGCCCACTGAGTGACACATGTGTCCTGTGGTTCCCCATGTCCCCACCAGCCCCTGGTGTCCGACCCACGTCACAGGCCCCAGCGGTGTTTGGGTTTTCGGCCCTCAAGTGCGATCACCTGTTACTCCTTGTCCCACATCCTCGGAGTCCGTAGTCCACCACCCACGGGGCCCAGAGAGGCGATGGCGTTCACGCCGCCGGGATGGGAGGACGGGCGCCCTCCGCACTGTCCTCCTGCTCCGTCAGAGCTGAGCTGAGGGGGTGGGGCTCCAAGTGAAGGAGACTGATAGTCAAAGAATGTCTGTCTGTGAGAAACAGAAGTGCAATCAAACTGACTTCAATACCAAAACACGAAAAAAGGCTCCTTGGAACGACCCCCTGGATAATATCTAGCGAGAGGCCGCCATGTACAAACACTTTAATGTATCAGTTCACTCCACGCTCGAGGTGAAGAAACCAGCGCCCCAGAGAGGTTACGTCACTTGCTGGGGGTCCCACTGCGGGGAAGTGGCGAGTGTGGACTTGAACCCCAGTAGCCTGCCTCCACGCCCCGCCATTAGACTTTATGTTATAAGCTTCGTGGGTATTGTGGTGGCTTAGGACCCCAGGGATCCAGTGTGGTGGCCTGGCCTTGAGATGGGAAAGGTGGGGACTGTGTGCCTGTCTCTTGGCATCTGCTCCAATTTTCCCACTTACCTGTGGGGCGGCGCTCACATATGGAAAATGGCCACCCCAAGCCCGCTCCAGCTCAGCCTGCTCTCCACCTCTCTGCTAGTCTACATTCTCAACACATTTCCTAGTTTGGTCTCTGGAGTCAGGGACCCCGCGGCCCAATTGGCTGTGGTCTCCCACGGCCATGGGAGGCTAACCCTAGATGAGGCATGTGTGTGTGTGGGGGGG